TCCAGGTTCTTCCAGTTCTTTTAACATGTCAAACTCTGGAGATTTGTTCATGAGCGTGCAGTCACTCAATGGGGATTCTTACCAAGGGGCCCAGGTTGGAGCCAACGTGCAGTCACAGGTAGGGACTCATCCGATGTACGGCCAGTGAATGCATTAGTGTTGGAAGAGCCCTTGATTGTATTGGCATTCCCCACTTCTGTCTGAAAAGTGAAATCTTAACGGTGCAAATGAACCAATCAAATGAACCAACACTGAAAAAAAAATCCAAAAAAACCCACCCCCAACCAAACCAACAAACCATTGTCTTCGGGAATCTTGCCCACACTTTGTGAATGCATTTGGCTCTGGCTTGATAGTCACATTAGGAGAAAAGGAAGTTTCAAAGAACAAGCATGTGCTAAGACAAAAATAGCTGAGGTTTAGCTTGTTTGCTTTATTTTTCAAGGTAAGGACCAGATGTTCTGACTGGTGTCTCATTTCCAAGGCTTCTACTCGTTTGTTCGATGCTGAAACTAGGCGTCTACTGAAAGGAAAGAAATGCTGAAATGTACAAATGCATTTTTAATTAAATACAAAACACCCAGGCCTAGGCAGCCACCAAAACCTCTTAGAGTCCAGCAAGACACAGACGGAACTTCGGGCATCATTTCTGAAGTGCTGATCCATGCTTTGGACAAAAGAGGGCCCAGCCTGTTAACAGTCTTAGATGCACGTAATGTCTTCTATAAGCTTCTTGCTTCCCATCCACGCCCAACCATTTCATGGGTCCATTTGGCATTTAGCGTTTACAGAAGTTAGGAGATGACTCCCATTCAACTACTTTCATGTTGGCAGAGAGTTTTTTTAAGTCAAAGTCACTCCCTTTGCAACCCTGGATGCAGAGAAGTGTGTCATAGATGGGGATCAGACAGCTTATCACTTTTTAATTTTTGGCTTTTTAAACCTTTATTATAAAAATACGAAAAACAATTGGTGAAAGTGCAAAGGTATGTGGTCTTTCCATGGGCTGGGCATGAAACATTTTTCAGTGACCAAAAACTCCATATTGCCAGAGATTGAAACCCCCTCTCCTTATCACTGGTGCAGCCAGAACAGCAGGGGAGAGGTGGTTACCCACTTGCTATGGTAGGTATGCACACTCTCGATGCCCTCCAGAAATAATTAAGGAAACTGATGACCCTACACATTGAGTCAGGCAACCCTCTTCAGTTGATGTGCTCCTCCTGGTCCTTGGGTAGGAGGAAGATGGTGGGGCAGGAGAAGGGAAAGGGAAGTAAAGTCTACTCCCTGAGTTAGCTGCAGTATGCAACTCCAACAAGTCTTATTGCCCCTGTTGCTTTTTCTTTCCTCCCTGGATGTCTTTGTTGCAGTGCTTAGAACTGACAGTTGGGTGTGACAATGCCAGTGGGGCGGGGTTGTGGGTTGGAAAGGGAAGTGAGGGTGTCCTCCATCTTGTGTCCCCCCTTGCCACTCTGAAAATGATAGTGCTATATTTCTTCTTTAAATACACATCAAATGTGAATCAAAGCAGCTTTGCCTTCTAATTTCTCTCTCTCTAATTTTTTCTCTTTGTTGTTGTTGGTCTGTTTAGGTGGATACCCTTCGCCATGTTATCAGCCAGACAGGAGGATACAGTGACGGGCTCGCAGCAAGTCAGATGTATAGTCCGCAGGGCATCAGTGTAAGAAAAATAGGCTTGTTTTTTTTTCCCCTCTCCTTTCATTTTTGTTCTCTCACTACCAATTATTTCAAAGCCAAAGGGCTTAGAATGCCACTTAGTAGGACTTGTCTTGGCTTTACGGTCACCTAGTTTATTGCTTCTGTATCGGTCACGCTAACGGCAGAGTTCTGCCCACAAAAAGTGGCGATTGGGCAGGCTTCATGCAGGCAGCTGGCGTCTAGGCCTGTCAGACGCAATCAGTGTTTGCATGGCACCTGCGGCCACATGCGTTCAGCTGAGAGGAGCTGCTAAACAGGTGACACCTAGTAGAACAGTGGTAGGAAATGTCATCGCAAGCCTGAGCCTTGAAATCTCCACAAGGAGCCCAATGGCTGGAGCCCATCACAGACCAAGCCGCTGTTTAAAAATAACCTTTCCCCAGCCAGTGTCTTGAGCCAAAAAATGATGATGATGATGATGATAAAAAAGGGGGGGGGAGTTTAAAAACATCTTCTACTTGTTCTTGGGTGCGCTGGCGGCTCCTGACTAGCATGAAAATTCATAGCGACAAGCTGTGTCGTACAGAGTGAAATCGATCAGACAGACACAAGGAGAACCGAGTGTAGATTCGGGACAGCAATCCAACTTCATTTCTCAGATCAATCGTCCGCCATCTCAGTGGGGGTGACAGCAAGCTGGGACAAGAGGGCAGCCTGAAAAAGGAGGCTGTTCTTGTGGAGTGTGGTTTTTCTCTGGCCCCTTTAGAGGTCACAGAGAGACTGAGGTGGAGGGGGGACATTTGAACAAGGGAAATTTGTCTGCAGTGTGTTTTATTTTCTGTGTATGTGACTTATGCTTGTTGTGGGGGAAGGAGAGAAAGTGAGCAAACAAGAACATGCAGAGAAGTCTTTTGGAGGCAGGGGCAAGGGAGACCTGTTTCTCTGGATAACCTTCAGGAATCTATGCCTTGACCACCAAGGGATCCGTTCTAAGTGAACCACTTCCAGTAGGGGAATGCACAGGATGTCATCAGCCCTGGCAGGCATTCTCCAGGAGTTTGTGTCATTTCAGAACAAAGGCACTGAGAACGAGATGTGATACGAGTGGAAGCATTAAAACAGCTTCCCCAGTCTCTGTCTCCTTTTGGTTAAGGCGTGCACAAAAGGGAGAGTGTTGGGCTTTAAAAGCCAAACGTTAAGGGTACCCAGGTGGGATACAGTGTCATGCCGTTACCATCTGTCTGCATCCAAATTGGTACATCGGGCTCAACAGTCCATTTTTAGTCCTTTTGCATTTCTTCTGGGAAGTCAAATTAGAGATTTCCCAGTAGGCAGGAAACAAAATTTGCATGTGATCCTCACTTCACTAGGATGGCTAAAGGCCCTACCAGAGCACAGCGAGAGAGAGAGAGCACCCACGGCACATAGAAAGGAAAATGGTAGAACCCTTGCCTATTCAGGTTGATGCTTTCTTTCTCTCAATTCAGCCATGCTGAGAAAATGGACATTAGGGGCTTACCAGTGAGGCCTGACGTCACTGGGCGGGGCCAACGAGGATTTGTGAAGTAATGTAACTGAACATGTGCAGATAATTATGTCTGATTACATAAGCCCGTTGCAGGAACTGTGGTTGAAAATGCCACATGAAAGAGCCCATCGTTTCACATTAATTTCTATGTTAGCTGAATTTATTCCCTTTCTGGCTTTTTAATACTGAAGAGTAAATGAATCAGAGGCTGATCATGATAAGATATGATACTTTTGTATAAATTAAAATCCCCCCCCAGGAGAGGTTGAGCTTATTACTGTCGGAGATGTATTTGAAAATAACAGTCTTCTGTGTTAAGCCAAAATATAAGGGGAATTTGCTTTAAAGGGCTGGGGGAGGGGAAGGAAGCAACTTGAGGAGGGGAGTTTCTAGTCAACACCCAACTACAGTCCAAAAGGCTGGGTAGAGCAGTGCAGCATGACTCAGGCCTGATACTTCAGGCCAGCAACAGCAGGGGAAGGTATCCAGATTAACTTGGAGCATATCTGAAACTTGGAAGCTGCGATCATGCTGCACATTTTCATTTTCAGTTTATGAACATAAGGGCCTTGCTGGCTATCTGTTGGGAGGGGAAAATGCGTTGACAAACCACAAGGATTGGGCAAAGGAGTTGTGTTCTTTAGGCAGGAGGCAGGTGGCTGGCACTTAAAAAGAATGTATTAAAATAGTGGTGCGCAACCTCCAGCCTGTGGGCTAGATCCAGCGCTTGGAGCCATCTCATCTGGCTTATGGGTCTCCCCACATGTCCAGAAATTTGGCAGCAGGGGAACAATGGCAGTGTTAATTGCCATTCCTCTGCTGCCAAATTTCTGGATGTTTGGGGAGCTCTATGGACCAATGAGGTTGCCCTGCACACTAGATCATTTTGCCACACAGTTGGGCTAGCAAAGGATTGGGGGAGGGGGTTGTTCCACAGCTAGATCCAGATGCACAGGACTGGACAGTGTGCAGCTGGATCTTACCTGTGAACCAACCCCATACTCAGACCTTATGCTGGATCCAACCCAGGTCTGTGCCACTCATCTGGCCCATGGGGCCAGAAAGCTAAGCACCACAGCATTAAAAAATGGTTACGTATTGTTGTCCAGCGTTACATATATCATCCTGTTGGAGTTTCCCTAGTTGGAGTGACACGCAGCACTGCCTTTTGCTTGTTAGTCAGATGCACCTGGAGGTGTCTCAGGTGGGGGTAAAGGCAGAGTCCAGGTTTGGAAAGGGTCTCTTCCCACTTCTGCCCACCCCCATGAATAATTAGTCTCATGGACAGTCCTGACACGATGATACTATACACATCACTAATCCCCATGCAATTTCTATCGCTCCTTTCAGCCCATCAATTCTAATAGCGTTTAATAAACTGTGTCTATATAGAAGGCAAGACACCCACCCTTTGAAACGCAGCCCTTTCCAGGGGCTACTTGATAGCTGCTTGATAGCAGTGATCTTAAGACAGGAAGTGAAGAAGAACATCCTGTCCATCTGAAAGCTAAAGCAGGGCAGGAGGGCATGAATGAAAGTTGCTAGTAATACATACACCTGTGCTTTACTGATTGCATCTTAAACTGTCCTTATAAGCCTTCCAAGGCAGGTGAAATCAGACCCGAATGAGAACTGTTGGTGAAGTTCTTGCTTAGGGCGGATTGTTAAGTCTAAGTTGATCTGCAGAGATTTTTGAGGGCTGGAAAATACAAGGTATATTATGTTATCCAGCTATATCATAGTGTAATGTGATGACAGTTGCAGTAAGAAAAGCTGCCCCACCATAGTCTTTCCACCTCTGTTAGTGCATTGATTTTGCATCTCCTTATGAACACAGCATCCTGAAATGCCGTTGTAATCAAGATAATCAGTTTCAGGAGGCCCCTTCTTTACTCCAGAGATCTGTTTTTGTGGTTGCAGCTGCTATGTTTGGTAACAGAGCCCATGTTGTTATTCCTGTTAGCTCTGCAGAGCTCAAATAGCTGGATTCTTATCTCCCAGTACATCATTACCGAAATCGTCAGCTATATCCCAACTGTAAAATCTTTATTACTAGCAATGATGTCTGATGCAGAAAGAAAACAGCTGGATTTTCATATCCCAGGTGGCACTAGCATCACCAACCGCTAGCATGAAGTTGATTTTTGACTCATAAAGTGAATGGGTGCCATCAAGAAAGGGCTGTGGGGCAGGGAAAAGAGAAACTTCTCATGGACTTGAACCTGGAAAGACAAGTGCCTAATGATCTGAACTGTGGTTGTAGTTGCCCTCAGAGGGCAGGGTAAAACAGTATAGCAAATAAGCTAATGAAAGGGTAGGCCTGAGTCACAGAATTGGGACCTGAGCATATGCAGGATTCAGTTGTGTTAGTAGCTGGGCTTTTAGGGTTGCTTAGAGTGAATGGGGGCGCTGCGTCTGAAGCACAAGAAGTTTGTGAGCAGTTTGAGTCATGCAACAGGTAAGAAAACAAGCCTTGGACAGTCGAGCAGAATTTCTGCTTCCACTACAGCTTACCTTCTACCTTGAGCTGAAGAACTGTGTCCAGAACTAAGTGGACTGTTTGCAGCCCTGCTATGACAGGCAAGAAAAGATCAGTTAATGACCCCTGTGAGGACTGTATTATGACGTGGCCATGACCCATAGACTAGTCTGCAGGTTGAAAGTAGCAGAAGAGAGGACAACTGCATAGTCCACAAACAATCCATTCTGGTTTCACTCCTAGAGACAGGACCTACCATGTCAGGGTTGGAGCTGCTGAGTGCTGTGCTTTGCCAGCGTTGAGGAGGAGCAAAGAACTTCAGAAACCATATGTTCTTCCCAAATGATGATACTGTTTCAGCCCAGCAGTCTCTTCCAACAGTTGGCCCTGCTGCAGCACCCCAGAACACACCAACTTGTTTCTGCTAGGGAAATACTGTGGAGTTACAATAATGGTGGAATTGGAGACAAAGGCTCAGGACTGGAACTCTGAGCTCTTGGATTTTATCATTAACTTTGCTGTTAACATGGTGCATTGTGTTGGGTCAAAATACAAATGGTTATTGAGCAGTCTCTTTTTTCCATGCATGTCAGTGAAACACATTTGTATGAAATGGGTAGGGCCAGCTGAAAAGTTCTTGATGAAACTTCTTTCTGTTGAAAAATTTCATCAAAACCAAAAATGTTTTGCAGAAATATGGAATTAATAGGAGATTGCTTTAGGAAGATTTTTCAGATGGAATTTCTGATAAAGATGAGAGGACATGCCTGTGTCTGTGCCTGTGAAAATGAGAAGGAAAAGAGACACCCCATTAGCCTGCTGGTTAAATTACTCATTCACCTGGGACATGGGAGTCCCTGTCCTAAATTGGACAAAACAAGTATTCAGACCTGTGTACACCTGTGTGTCAGATCAGAGCCCTTCCTACCATCTATGAATTCAAAAAGCAACATATTCAGCACTTTAAGGCTACTCTTGTAAATGTGGACCTGAACCTTGCCAGCCTTGTCTTCCT